GAGCCCGAGAGGACCCGGCTTCTCGATCCTGCTGTGAGCCTGCCAACGAGGACACAGAGAGCCCCTCCTTGAACCACAGCATTTTTGTGTTTTGACTTTTTCCAGAAGAGTCCACGGGCCTGCTCTTCCCTGGTTGGCAGTGGGGGGCCAGGCTGGGTCTGACTGCTGCCCTCTTCCCTCTTGTGCCCAGTCCTCTTCTTGGGCTCTTGTCTGCATGAGAGGCTCTGGTCAATCAGAGGAAGCAGGAACAGTGAGTCACCAGCCAGGGGACCCCCACCGACATGTGTCACCCACAGAGGAAGAAATGGAGGTGGGGGGCATCCGTCCCTGAGGGGGCAGAGCTCCCGCAGCACCCAGAGTTGGGAAGGGCCGGGCAGAGGCGGGAAGAAAAACGCAGGAGAAAGAAAGAGCCTGGCCGTCAGCGGGGGCGGGAACGAGTGAGCCGAGCAGTTCTTCAAGGGAAGGTGAAGACTTTCAAACGGGAAGCCCCACACCGAGTCTGGTGGACGCTTTACTAAGCTGGAGGGCAGAGGCTCTCCATGTGCTCCGCACGACTTTCAGCTTTTGGAGAAATCAGGAACATCCACAGCACAGACACGGCCCTCCTTCCTTCCTATCTGCCGCCTTGGGAGGACGGTGTAGAGGCCTGGTTCCTGGCTCCTGAGGACTTTCAGGACCCCGGAGAGCGCCAAAGCCGGCAGCTTGGGGAGAGGTCTGTTCCGTGCCCTCTGATTCACGGGTCATCCTCACCCTAAAGAAAGAGGCGTCATCAGCAAAGCTGGGGTCAGGTGGCTAGGGCTTCCCGCCACTTCTTGAGTAGGGAATTTTTCTTGGGACAGATCCTGAGAACAGCTCCTAAGTTTTAGAACTGAAAAAAGTACAGAACTAAAACGAGTAGTATCCTCGGTGATTCTATAGAGAGAACAAGGTCTCTGCACCATCCCACGAAGCAGGCAGACTTGGGTTTAACACCCCGTTCCCTAGGCACCTAGGAGAAGACTCAGAGAAGCCGAGCGACGGTCCAAGGATCACACAGCGAACGTGTGGGCAAGAACCCAGGTCCTGACTCCTCATTTTCCTGCTCAGGTGTTTTAAACATTTTGAGCACTCAGAGTGAACGAGGCCTGGGGACACAGAGGCAGTTCTGCCTGCCGCGAATGGGGCTCTGGGTCACAGTTAGGGGACAGTGGGGTCGTCGGGGTGGTGCTCAGTTGACAGGGGCTTTCACCCTCCCTCGGGCTCCAGGGTCTTCTGGAAGTCACCTCAACTCTGAGACGGGGTTTCCTCACATGTAAAATGGGGTCACAGTCCCGTGACCTCAGAGAGTTCTGAAGAGTTTTGAGGTGGGCCTTACGAGGACGGCTCGATGCGGTGAACTTTGGCAAATTTTGTCAGAACTCTCAGAGGAGGTGATGAATGACCCCCGTTTTCCCATTACTAGCAGGAGACTATGGGGTCTCCCAAGAGTAGGCATTTGTTTGGTTCTATTCTTGGATTTACTGCAAAGCTGACTGGCACCTTGGGCTTCTCCCTGTGCAGGGCCGGAACCGCCTGTTCATGAGGTTTGCTTCGCTGCCGTGGGGGGAAAAGAAGAGCTGACCCCTCCAGAGAGCCACGTCACTGGCAGAAGCGAATGTCCAGCCTCCAGGTGTAAACTGTCCCCTCCTCAGGAAATCACGGTGCCTCTAAACGGGGCTGCGTGGCGGAAAGGCCTCCTGCAGACGGCGGTTGGTGACTCAGCGGGGTGTTGTTTAGTGCTCATGGAGAATGTGCCGGCCACAGCCCCCCCAGCTGCTCTGAAGGAAAGGGTGGGGCTCAGAAAGTGGTGCAGGAAGAAGGGGATCCTCCGTCCTTGTCCTTGGGAAGTGTCCTCCCTGTGAGAGCTCAGGGTGGGGAGTGGGGGCCTGGGTCTGAGGCCTCCTTCCTCGGCCATGAACCAGTTCGGGGTTCTAGATCAGGTTTCTGACTCTGGGTCTCGGTCTTCTCATCTGTCATGAGGGACACACAGAGAGCGCAGCATCAACTGTCTCACGAGGTTGTTTTCTACAGCAACACAGAAGGGCACAGAGGAGCCAGCTGCCAGGGTGAGGCTGACAACCACCCGCTGTACGGATCCTTCATTCTGGGCCGGAAGGAGGGTTTCCTGTTTGGGACGATGTCACTTCATGACCTAATGGACCTCGTGGCCCTTGGGGGGCACACCCATGTTGCAGTTGGGAGTGTGGCATGTCAGAAAAGGGACTCAGATCTGAGCTTACCTGGGGCTGGAAGAATCTAAAAACATGATTTTTGTGAAAGTAACTCAGTCTGGGGCATGGTATACAGTAAGTGCTCAAGAAAGGCTGACTTTCCCTGGGTATCTCAGACACGCTGCTGAGGACCATGTGAGCTTGAAGGACACATCCCTTGCTGCCTCGCCTGGAGACGGGGGAGAGGACCCGCCAGCATGTGGGCCAGGCAGAGACGCAGGAGGGGGACAGCCTCTCTAGGTCCTCACAGCCGCCGGGAATCCATGCTCTTCTCCGAGGGTCTGAGGCTCCTGAAGGGGTGAGATTGGAGGTCTTTGCCCAATACCCCCCTTGCTCTCCTGAAGTATCATGCTGCCTGGGCCTTGCCCCCTGAGCTCCGTCCGACATGAACTTTTCCACATGGGCATTCTGTAAGGGCCAACTCGCCCCAGCTGCACCTTCTTGGGTCAAATCTTTGCCTGGGGGAGGCTACCTGCCACCCTGCGTGAACAACAGTCCTCTGCACTCCTGTCCTCGTCACAGCCACAGGAGAGCGTCCCCTTCCACTGACCATGCATTGCCACTCCTTAGGTCAGGCTGAGAGACCGACCTGCCGTGGGTCTCGGGGCAGAGCTCTGTCTGGCGCAGAGGAGGGGAAACTCCGACCTCTTCACACCAGAGCAGCTGCTGCTGCCTCCCAGAGACCCCGGGGCTCTCACCCTGTGGCCGCACGTGGCAAGGAACGCCCCAGGCCCACCCACCGGTGAGAAGGCCGCACTCCGGCCTAGGCCCCGGGGGGAGAAGCCTCTGCTGGAGGCCTCCACCGTCTTGAAGACTCTGAGGTGACCAGACTGTACCGTCCCTAGGAGCAGCTCCTGGTTCAGAGCCAGCAGCCGTGTTCGTGGGGTTGGGAGAGTCTGGCTGCTAGGGCCAGGCGTGATGACCTTGGGCGTGACTTCCCGGGCTCCAGTATGACTTCAGCAGGGTCCTGAGCCCTGCGTTTCCTCGGTCCACAGAGGGTGGTGTGTGGGGCATCCTTCATGGGCCCCTTTGACGATCTCAGGAGAAAGTGAGCAGACCCAGGGAAGGCTGAGAAGAGCGAAGGAGGTTTTAAACTGCCCACTGAGGGCACACCCTCAGACAGCACAGCGTGGGGCCGCTCTCCTGAGGGAGTCCCGTGGGGTCGAGATGGGATGAGCATGACCTAGGAACCACTTATTCTGAGCACAGGTATCTTTCCGTCCACCCATCCATCCAGTCAGTCACTGTCCCTCCATGGATGTGTTTGTTTTTCTATCTAAGCATCCATCATCCAACCAAGTAAGCACTCAGCATCCATTCACCCATCCATCCATCCGTCCTTCCATCCATCCACCCATCCATCCATCCGTCTGTCCATCCATCATCCATCTGTCCATCCATCCATCCATCCATCCACGCATCCATCCATCTGTCCACCCATCCATCCATCCATTCATCCATCCACCCATCCATCCGTCCATCCATTCACCCATCCGTCCTTCCATCCATCCACCCACCCATCCACCCGTCCGTCCATCCACCCATCCATCCGTCCATCCACCCGTCCGTCTGTCCGTCCGTCCACCCACTATGTACCCATTCTGTACAATATTCACTGATTCCCACCGTGTCCCAGTCACCGTGCTGCACCATGTGCTGGGCTCTGAGCAGGGACGGTGACAAACCAATCTCCTGCTCTCGTTCAGGGAAGAAGACAGAGGACAACGTGGACAAATGAACATGAGCCCATGACCAGACCTCGGGTACTAGCAAGTGTGCGAGGACAAGAGACGAACGTGAGGAAATCGAGAGTGACCGGAGGGTTCTGTTAGAGACAAGGTGGCCGGGAGTTGAAGCGGAGCCTGGGATGGGATGAAGAGGGAGTCTCGAGAAGACGGAGCGGGCGCATGAGGCGGGCGCAAAGGCCCTGCGGCGCCCTTGTGTGAGAGAGCGTCAGTCTGGCTGGGCCTGAGGGGGCTGTCTGGGGCAGCCCTGGCCGTGGGCGGAGAGGAGCTGGCTCCGGGACTGTGGGGAGGAGTCCAGATTTTATTCTGATTGTAATGAAAGGTACTGAGGACCAGGAGGCAGGTGAGTGGGATCCTCTCACGCGTACTTTGGGAAGACTGTCCTGCCTCCTGGAGGAGGGGTAGACGTGGAGACCAGGGTAGACACAAGTGGATGGGTTAGGCCATCGCAGGAGTCGGAGGGACACATGATGGACAGATGGTGACCGTGACGAGATATGGATGGACCCTGGTGCAGTGAAAGGCCATGAGGCAGAGCTGGCCGAGGGGCGGCACGTGAGGGGATGCCTGGAGGGGACGATGACCCACAGGTTCGGCCTGAGGAAGCCCTCCTGAGAGCAGGCTTCTGCAGGGCTTCTCAGCCAGCTCTGGGTCCCGATGGCAGCTCCACGGACCACTCCCCAGGCAGCGAATGGGGCCTGGGGGGGCCCTGCCTGGTCTCAGCCTCGGTGAACAGGGTGGCTCCTGGTGAAGGTCAAGGTCATCAAAGTCAAGGCCCTCAGAGTGGGAGCTGCACAGGAAGACGGGACCCAGGAGAGGCCCAGAGGCAAAGCTCGAGGCTGAAATCCTGAAGCCAGGCCTCGATTCTCCCAGTTTCCAGTGTGTCCAGTGGGGGGAGATCAAGCCATTTCCCCTTCACGCTGATACTCAGCGTGCCGCGGCCTTGGTGACACCGGCCATAGCAGCCAAAGTCAGGACAACAAAGACCACAACTCCATTTCTCATTTTCATATCAATTGGCAGAAATTATCTTTATTAGAAAAATGAAATTTTCCTGTATTTACATTTTTACACCGTATGATTGGGCACTTCTTTTGCCTCGGGATTTATGTACATATCAGTTTGCACACACATTTCATAATCCCATTCCTTAAAACAGTTGATAACACATTGAACAAAATTAAAAGACGTACTACAAGAAGACAACCATAGTATATGCTTCCTCTATCATAGAAAGGTGTTAAGCAAACGTGTAATTTTTGTAGCTATGCTTGGAAATATTTAATACAATTATCAGTACTTCCTCATGCAGTGGATTAAAACATGACAGATATAAACCGTTGTGATTGTAAGTGAAGATCTAACCCCACACGAAGACCACTGAGCTGAGGAGCTCGCAGCCCGCTTTGGGCTCCACCGTACACGAGATCAAGCCACTTCTGACGTGAGTTTTAGACGGTGTTTGAAGGTGGCTATGAATGGAAAGCCTCTGCATATGAGCTCCATCCCGACTGGGTTCAAAGCAGACTCAGACACAAACCCTTTAGTATACGCTGTTTAATGCAATGACCTTCTTCTGGGAGATGACCAGTCTATACCCTACGCCACGGTCTTATATTTCATGAGTGGAAAATAAATGGCTCATCTTTTTTTTGTCTGAGAATATCATTATCTTTTATTTTTATGATCTACTTCTTATTCAAGCCACCCATGAACTCATCTAATTCTTTCTGAATACTCAGCTTGAAATATATATATACTATACATAAACACACATACACAAACATTCCAGTGTGATATCAACGATGATGAATTCTACCGATTAATTTGGCAAGTGTATGCTTTTAAATTTAGCAGGGGGACGAATAAGACTAATATTCAGAATTTTAAAACAGCTGGTTAAAAAAAAATCTTCAGGGACCCTCAAGCAACCAAGTCACATCTAGCCATGTAATTACTTGTACCTGGCAGTGAATGTACTTTCTATGAAAATGTTATTCTTAACTTAAGATCTTGAAGAGAATCGAGACAGTTGACATCCTTCCCCATGAAAAAAATCGGGGTAGCATGAATGTCACAAGTGCCACATACATCTTCCCCGATCCACCAGAATTCTCCAAGACGACCCCGAGGAGCCATACAAAATCATCATTGGAGTCTTCTAAGTTCTATCATTTCCCTAGTGATCATGGCCCCAGAGCTGTGTCTACAAACCTAATAAACTTAAGATTAAAAAAAAGGTAAAATAGATTTAAAAAGTCAATACTGTTCATTCGCTTGAATTAGCTTGACCGAGAATAGAAATGATTCAATAAGTCTTAGACGGCTAATGTAAAAACCTCAATTGAATTCAAAAGGCTATGATTGTTTTTCATGGCGAAACTGACAATGTTCTTTATATTTCTGGACCTTTACTATTTGCTCAGTTATCAATACTCTTTGATTCGAGCCCTTTAAAATCCTGAAACGGCAAAATGTCAGATCAATGAGAAGCATTTAAAATGCCGAAGACGAACTCATGTTTGCTGGAGAACAATTAACCTTATTAATTCAAAAGGCAGCTGCGGCTTTGGCTATGTGTTATGTTAATATCTTTCCAGGGTTCATCTTAAACCCTTCCCAAAGGTCTGAAGGAGAATTAACTGGAAGAGGTTATGACCCGGGGCTACCACTAATGAGGAATGTTCTAGAACTGCAAAAAATGCAGACGCCTTGTTTGGCTGGCACGGTACAGAAGAGGGACTTGTGAGTGATAATCTGCTCTGTCTTGTTGGTTTCTGCAGATCTCTGTCACCTTATCTGAGGAAGTTAATTTGAGGAATGACTCCATTTTAAACAATTTGGTTCTTGTTCCCTGGAGAGTTCTGTGCTTTGAAATATGGCTCCAAAGTAATGCTGTTGGCCAGATCATTCTTTGGGGTGCTCCACTTTCTGCATAGCTCAACATCCCTGGGAGGATGTCGTCCTGCACTTGCAGACAGCAACAGGATCTCAAAATAGCTGTTAAACATCAACAACGCTCTGTCTCGGCTACGTTTCAGGGCCAGCTTGAAAGACAACCTTTAAAATCCCTGCTCAGATCCTCATCTATGCCATGGTCTGCATGCCCCACCTCACAGTAACTATAGGTGCCAGAAAAGCAGCAGCGTGGCTTTGAACGTGGGAGGAGAAGGATGCCCAAGAAGACACGTGGGTGCTCGGGAGCATCGTCTACAAGGTGCATTCGACACCAGATCCTCGGGGCTCCTGAGCCCAGTGAACTATTCCAACTCAAGAACTCTCCTTCGTGGGACAAAGAGAAGAAGCACTCAGCGGTTGAACAGTCATCCTGACACTCGTGACCAGGACAGTCTCTCTAAGGCAATTAGGAAACGTCACAGCAGACCAAGAAGGGAAACATCAACAGAGCACTTCGGCAGCCGGCCCTCAGCCATCTGGCTCCTGAAGCTCCCCAGCCCTTGTGCAAACCTCTGTCCTCCACCTCGTCAGCCTCTGAGCCTCATTCGATCTGCCGGGCAGAGAGGAGCGAACGTAGAACAAAGAGGAGGGACAGTCACCTTGCAAATGACACCACCTCCTTAAAAATGGGTCACGATGTTTAGGAGAGCTTCAACGAAGGGCCACAAGGCCATGTGTGTGTGTGTGTGTGTGTGTGTGTGTGTGCGTGTCTACACACGCGAGCACACTATGTACATATGTCTAATGCAACAAGCCCTGATGCCAACTGATAAAGTCAGGAGAGAGTGGGAAGGGATATTCAAGATTAGGCACATGCTCAATAGAGAAAATAACTTCTCAGGAACCAAAAAATAAATGCTGACTGCACTCCCATGAAGGAGGAGAGAACAGACAATGCTTGAGTCTCGGGAGGGACTGTGAACAGAGGTGAGACCCCCCCGTGTGATGGACACACTCCATTCCTGACTCTGAGGATCAGGGACCAGCACACCGGAGAAGGGGACCTGGCCACAGCAGCTCTCTCTCTCCGACTCCTCTTCTGACCTCCCTGGAGGAGATCAGGCACTTCGAGAATGTGTCCAACATCAGGGATTTATTAACTGACTCTAGTTTCTGATGAGGCTGAGAACAACTAAGCCTCAGATTCCTCATCTGCAAAATGGGAGCAATCATCCTGCTATCCTATGGCTATTTTGAGAACCTCATTCTAGAATGTTCCTAGAATGTAGGCTATACTCAGTGTGGGTATATTTTGATATTTCCAGATTTAGTTGCTGACACATGGTGTGTACTTGTGATAAACAGAGAATCTCACATCTCAGTCCTGCCCAGAACTGGGTTGGACAGGGTAAAAAAAATCCCCTCTCCACCCGGCGGGTCCTCCCGAAATCCGCGCAGACTCCCCGTGTCGACTCTCTAGGGAACCTGCAGCTTCCCTTCTCCAGCCACAACAGTAGGCACTTGGTCCTCCCTGGTCCTTCCCTGATACATTTATACCCTGGACTGTCAAAAGTGTCCCTCACAAGTCCAAGACCAGACAAAAAAACCCTTGGGGAACTGTTCCCTCTTTCCCATCACGGTCCATTTTCTCATCCTTGCAGGGTTCTTCCAACGCCCTTCTGAAGCACATGTCGCCCAGCAGAGCTGGGAGGAGGTGATCTGGCAAGGGCTGGAGGACCGGTCCGAGCCTGCCTGTGCAGAGGAATCATCCTCCTGGTTCGCTGCTCCTGGGTTCCTAGACACCTCCTCTGGAGGTCTCAACATCAGGGCATTTCCAGGAGCAGTGGGTATATGGGGGAGCTTTTTTTTTTTTTTTTTAAAGGTTGATCTTGGGATCGGATTCATTCTTACTTCTTGGCAACAACTTCATTAATCGTTTCTAATTCTTACTGTTTGGTATGCGTTTGCCATCTACGCATCTTAGGTATCTTCCATGTTAAGGAACGGAATTTCCAAATCACAAGCTACTTCTGAAAGGGACTGTGTTTTCTATTGCCTTTGTAGCCCCCTAAGACTAAAGTGGACTTCAAAAGAGAGTGGACCCTCCGTCGAGTCCCCTCAGGTAACCAAGGTACTTGGTTCAACCTCGGTGCTTGGGAAGTAGCGCTATGACTTCAAGGATTGCTGCCAGATGTCATCTTTGGTTCGCGGTTTTAAGCCACATCCCTTGTTGGTCTTTCTCAGGGACAAAGTCCCTGGGAAAATGAGGGAGAGTGAAAGAGTTTGTAGGAAAACCCAGGTCACAGGGGCTTCCCGGGTCTGTCTACACAGGGCACAGCAAGCCAGGTCAGTTCTATGGGCCTTTCTGATTCTGATCCGAGGTTCTCAGAAGGGTCCTCCTTGAAAAGACCTAGAAGCGGGTCAGCCTGGTAAGGGGGGCAGAGCCAGCGATCAGACCCCGGGGCCCCGCCCCTCGCCATCCTCGCCCTCCGTGTCTTCCCCGTCCCTGCCCCGTCCAGCTCCAGTTTCTCATCTGCCTCCTCTTCCCCAGGTCCTGTGCAGTCCTACGAACTCTGATTCTTCTCAGACTCTCCGGGGCAGGCATCTCTTGGCGATTCTATACCTTCGGCACTTCTAGGCACAGAAATGCAGGGGTGGGGGAGGAGGGTAAGGGGTTTAAGTAGGAAATCTATGTCTTTGGATGGGTTTAGAGAAATCAAAGCCCACGTCAGTGTCCTCTTTAGAACAAATGTAAACAGCGACTATTCCACGATGGCTCACCCCAGAGTTTTGCCTTTCAAGGGACCAAGAATACCAACACCCCAGATCCCACTTGGGCTCTGTTACCCTCCCTAGAACTGAGATTAAAAAAATATAGAATGCCTTCTCTACGGAAGCAGCCTCCCGCCAAGACAACCAAACTGGGTTTCCCTCGTGTCAGCGCCGCCACTGCCGCTGGCTTTTTAACAAACACTGTACATATGTACAACTCCATTGGGAGAATACACCTGGGTGTGGACTGTAGGAATCAAGCGGTCTATTATATACATGTGTACGCGGCATTGGTGTTCCCAGGGGAGTGCATCTGACCAGCTCTGAGCTGACAGACACCAGGTGGCAAAGCAGAACCCAAATGGACAAAGACAGATGAACACAGTGCGGCATGGGGGCGGGGGCGGGGGACAAGGGAAGCCGCGCATTGGGACGACTTTTCAAGTATGGACCCAGAATGATCTTTCCATTGGCACTTTTCAACCCTGTTTAGCAAAAAAGATGAAGTATCCAGAAAGGGCCTGATTTTGACTCAAGTAAACATAAAACGATGCAGTTGGAAGGAAGACAGACCTTGCCTGGGACCCTAACATATCACAAACCAGCCAATGAACTGAGCTTCCACCCACTTCCATCTTTTTTTTTTTTTTTTAAGTTCAATTCTGTCTACGGTAGCCGCGGTCCACACAGACACGGGCTCCGTTTCGGAAACAACCCGTGATCCCTCAAGGATTCACGCATAACGGCTCCGCACAAAGAAACAGTCCAGATATGTGCATCCTGCTAACGAATACATTCAGCTCCTCTGAAGGGCATTTAGGTTTTCTCAAATTAGTATTTATTTAGGTCTTAAACCGCAAGGGATTTCAGTGCAAGGTATTTATTTATATGACAACCGATTATTAAAGCTGCACTTTTTAGGTTTAAAGGAGATAAATTTTTAATCACCATTTAATTAACACCAACTTTCTTTTTCTCTTTTTCATTAGCAATTCTGTTTGCAAAGATTTCAGGGCATTTGTCATTTCCTGAGAAGGATGCAGAATATTAAATACACATCCGTAGTAGACATATCAAATAGAATAAACAATGTGTGCCCGCTGACTACTGTGGATCTTTTGACTAATTAACCACCTTGGCTAAAGTCCCATTTAAATGAAACTATTTCATTTGTAAACAAGGTGTACTTTTCTTTTTTTCTCCCCAGAAAGTATGCGTGAATTGATGTGACAGATTTTGCCGCAATGGGTGAATTTTAATGTTCTCATCAGAAAAGCTAAGTATGAGGTCTTTCCTGGGAAATAAGATGAGAAAACCAAGGAGAATCCATGAGACACTCATTTGTAGTGGTGGATAAAATAACGGAGAGAGGTGGACGGGGTGGTGAGGTTATTATAATCCCTCCAGCTCTCGGAACCTCACTGCCGGGGAGACGGACCCACTGGGAACTGTCTGCTTGGAGCATTGAACATAGCCACAAACAGCCCCAGAGCCCGCAGGTGCAAGGTTGATGGAAACTACTTTCCTGAACACCAAGGTCCCCAGAGCAGAGGTTATGCCCAGAAGACTCTCTCACAGAATCCTCTCCATTAGGTGACTGTGTGTGCTACTGCCCATGGACAGGAACCTGGCCATCGCATCCCAGTGTACCTCTCTGAGGATCGGTACAGAAGGGGGAAGTCACTTGTGGTCACTGAAATGTCAGGAGAGATGGCAGCTCTGACTTAATCCAGGTGAAACTTGGGCGTTCTGCTTAGACGGCATCAGCCGCCCAGATCTCAGGGCTGGGAGGGTCACGGAGCCCTCTGTCATGGGTGCAGAGCTCAGGGCTCCCACGAGCTCCCCTCACCTCCCGCACCAGAGGCACCGTTTCTCATGGGCGCCACGAATCTGGTTTTACTTCGTGAAAGGACTGAACTGACCTGGGCTCCCTTTGCATCGCTTCTCAGTATGGTCTCTCACTTGGAAACTGCCCGTCCGCCCAGTGGCTGATCTTCCTGTTGAAGCCCTGGCCTTTAAGTGTCAGTGAGAGAACGGGGGATGGAAAACACGTGTCCATGGAATAGATTCTAATTTCCAGTTGTTTTTACTGTGACTTGTTTTACAAACACCTTGGATATGAAGAGAAGTCTATTTCTCCCACCATATTATTTTGGGCTTTTCCCAAAAGCCACGTTTTTAGTCTCTTCCTCCAGAAATGTAGGGGTCAGCAGCCAACGATGCTGTTCTTAGGGGAAGGCTTGCTGACGGATGGAGTCAGCCCTGGAGACTGTGTGTGGCATCAGGCAGGCCCCTGGGCTCTGGGGACACCCGAGGAAGACAGAACGCCTCTTTGGATTGGTGGGACATCGTTGCCCTGTGTTCTGGGGAGGCTTTTAGAACTTACTTCCTGTTAAGACAGGCCAGGCTCATGAGGACATGGCAGTGACCTCGGCTGGGCGAGCCCAGGGCTGGGATGCGATGGGGGGGCAGAGTCAGAAGGGGCTAGAGACTGCACAGCCTCAGAAACTTAAATCAAGGTCAGAAATAGGGGCGACCATCCCAGGTCCTCTTATCCAGGTCTCCCCATTTTGGGGTCTTGAAAAGATGCAGCATCCAAGAAACAAAATGTCATTTTCAAGCCCGTGGGTCACCTGCACCACCTCCGCCTCCTCTGCCTAAGACAATAGGAAGCTGTTCCCTCCCAGGCCTCCTCTGCTGCCTACTGCGGACACTCAGGTTCATCTCAGCTCCTTCTCAACATGATGCGAGTGTCGGGGCAGGGCACCTTTCTAGAGCAAAGCCAGTCCGTGTATCCCTGAGCTCTGAGAGAGCCATCCCCAGCCGCTGTCCACTTGGAGAAAAACCACGCTGCCTATGGAGCAGAACACAGCCTGAGGGGGAGAAACGGGTCATTTTTGTTCAACCTGCCACCTGTCTCCTTCTCCAAGAGCCCAAGCAAACGTCAGTAAGAAACCGGGAAATGGTCAGGCTAGTTCCACAAGAGCTCAGGTTTATGCAGGAGGCTACCAATGAGACCGAGGTCTTCTGCAAAAACGGATGGCTATTAGCCCAACTATTTCCAGGATAGTTGTGTATTTAAAATATACTAATAGAGTAGAACCATACAAAATGTTTCAGTCATATCGTTTGCTGGTTTTATGATATTTAATTTTGAAACTAGAAAATTCTGGTCTGAAAAAGTGTCATAAAATAACAACGACCTTTATTTTTTCTGTTTGCTTTTTTTTTTTTTTAATGCGGCAGGTGCTGTGCTAAGAAGTTTCCCAAGTGTGAATATTCCCCTCTCTGCCTCCAACTGTTTTTGATAACGAGAGTCACCCGTGCCGTGCGTGCCCGGGTTTTAGCAGAGTAAGAATGAGATGAGACACACGCGTCTGGGGGTTTTTCACATATTTCTGTTGGTGCTGACGAGGCAGTTTGCCTTGGAGAGAGAGAGTGTGTGTTTCAGCAGAGAGAGAGCGCTCAGCTCGTCAAGTTCATCCACAGTTTGGGGGGTGCTCAGGGAGGAGGCATGAGTGTCTCATGTTTTGGAGACTTTTGATTTGAGGAGGTTGGGGTGGAAATGAGCGTCCAAGAGCGTTTTGTGACATTAAGGAAGATAAACCTAAAACCATGCTAGGCTCGGGCAGACAGATGGCACGGTGCTCCTTACAGATCACTGTACGCATATGGCTGTTGGCACGTGTCACCACATTAACAACTCTGGGAACAGAAACACACAGCTAATTAGACACCACCATGGCTGTTCGGGGGACGGGACAAGTTACGGTTCCGCTGGGAGGGTTGGGGTAACAGAAACTATACAACCCTGAGTCGTCACCAGAAGGGAGGAAATGCGAACTTACGTACACAGGAGTCTTCGGGGTCAACTACAACGGCCACTGTGTCGCGGACAGAAGATCCACACTTAGGTATCGAAGACACACACGTGCTAGTCTATGCAGCTCTGAGCAAGACCATCAGAGCCCAGGATGAGAGGAAAACGCACATCAACATCCAAAGAGGTCCCTGTGGCTCCGCCTGAGAGTCCCTGTGGCGTTTCGCTCCAGCTGCGTCTTGGAGGGACGGTGGTAAAGGGAGCAAAGGAGCCACGAACACGCTGATCTGCTATTCTTGGGGGAGCCTGGGGCTCTCGGGGTCGGGCCTGGGCATGAGGGGCAGCATAACAATAAAGTGAGAACGGTTACGAGCCAGACTTCCTAACCTCCCGCACAGGTCCGTCTCGCTCCGGTGCAGGTGCGCTCCTAACTGTCCTATTGTCCGTGTCAGGGTCACATGCATACCGTATTGCTTATTCTGTATCAGAGAAACCATTAGGCATTTCAGATGAGGAAATGACATGGTGGACCGACGTTAATGGGATTTGAATACAGGGAACCATAACATCGCCATCGACACCCTGGGCCGTTATTGCCAACACACCTGGTAAGGCGTGTCCGGAGACCTGCCCCTTTTTTTTTTTGTTTTGTTTTTGGTTAAGGACTTAACTCTCTGGTTTCTGCTGTGCTCAGCACACAGCTCAAAGATTCCTTGAGTGGAAGATTATGGCATGAGCCATGTGCAAAAGAGCCAACAAAAATGACCTCTCTAAGCCCTCCTCCTCCTTGCAGGGCACTATCGGACGACCACATTCACCCTCCAGAGCGCTCACCACTCCATGTTTCCCTATGATAAAACATTAATGGGAGAGTTTAAACATCAGATTCGATACTAGGCATTTTCTTGTACACGCGTCTATTGCTGCAGGAATTTAAAACCCTGGGGGTAGAGTACATATTATTCTTATTTGCAGCATAAGGCATAACATGCTCTGAAATATACACATCACTGTGGCCCCGACTGTCCCTGGAACAGTACGACGCCGTGGACCTCAAGGATGATCGAAGGTAGCTGTCATTCATGGCCTGCGAGGGCAACGAGTGTTTATAGGGGTCTGAGGGGCATCTCCCAATAACGAGGCGCTGGTCATCCCCGTGGGAGTGGAGGAAGGGGTTGTCGGAGGTGTGGTCTGGCAACAGAGACTGGCTCCTCTTGCTGCCCTCCAGACCCTGGGGGAAGAGGGAGCTCTTGTTCCCCGAGAGTTTGCTGGAGGGGACGCTGAACAGGCTCCCGTACAAGTTGCCCTCCAGAAGCCGCTCCCTGTCCTTGAGGCTTATGCTCCGGGAGGGCCTGCCCAGGTCCATCTCCCTGGGTTTATCCAGGATGTTGTCGTAGGAATGCTGGCGGCTGATCCTCAGTTTGCTCTTCTGGAACTGGAGAGCGTTGTTCTGCGCCCAGTCCTGCTGGTAGACCTCCTCCCGGGGCGTGGGGTTCCCCGTCTCCTGCAGCATCTGGTCTTCGTCGATGTCGTAGAGGTTGCCCATCCGCAGGCAGGCGTCACACTTGAAGGGGGACCTCATGGTGAAATGGCCGGAATAGGTGGGCAGGTTGGAGAGGCAACTCCTGCAGTGGGTGGAGCCCTGGCGGTAGCGGTCGCTGCCCTCGCTGTGGGGGGACCCCTTGTCTTTGAGGGTGAAGTGCTTGGCGTAGAGCTTGTACTGGTGGTCGTTGTTGGGAAGCCCGTCTTCGTTACGCAGGGGGTTGCGGTTCATGGGCAGCGTGGAGTCCGCCTTGTGGAAGTTCTCGTTGTGATCCTGGTAGCTGTCCGGGAAGCCCACGTTCTCCGGAAGGGCCATGTTTTCCACGAACTGGGGCGGGTCCAGGTGGAAGCTGGGCTCCTTCTCCCCGTCGATGGTGTAGATCTTGTCCCTGGGCGAGCCCGCCTTGGTCTTCAGGTAGGTGCGCTCCACCTCGCTGCAGTCCTTGGGGAACTTGGAGGCCAGGGACCTCTTGAAGTTGTCCTTGGTCTTGTGGCTCTTGTTGTTGTCCAGCTCCCGGTGGCACGTGGCACGACTGGAAGCTTCGGAGATGTCGGAGTGGGCCACCTCTTCGGGAAGGTACCGGGGGCTCTTTAGGGAGTGGGTCCTGTTCTCCACGGTGGTCCCCTCATCCCTGTGGGACACCGGGTTCTGGCTCAGAGAATCCTGGCGCAGGGACTCCATGGACTTCTTCCACAGCTGCCGGGGCCTGGAGTTGCCTTTGGACTCTGTGCTCACGGCCACCTCCACCGTGTTCGGGTTGGACTCGTTGAGGGTGAGAGGGTGCTGGCCTTGGAACACGTAGTTGTTGAGGTTATCCTTGTGCCTGTTGGCGACGAACGTTTGGAGTTCATTCATGTTGTCCCCAAAGATGCTGTCCTTCCCCTGAAAGGACCTGTTGTCCGAGTAGATGAGGTTCCCCTTGTCTGAGACCATGTCCATGATGAGGGAACCTCTCTGGATGAAGTCCGGGGCTCTTTTGGGTGAGTCCATTCTGGAGGAGTTCATGTTGGACACGTTGGACGTGTTCTTGGCCGACCGAAGGAGCTTCAGCATGTTGCTCTGGGAACCGGTCAGGCTGAAGTCTGGAGATTTCTTCTTTTCTTCGATGTGCACTCCGTGAATGCAGCTGTAGATGCCCTGTGAGGGAGCAAGACCAAACAGCCGTCAGCATCGTCCCGTGGTGCCAAACCGTTCCCACCTGGACCTCACCCACAGAGGGGAGGTGGGCTTCCTGTAGGAACCCCGGAGAAACAGCAGTGTCCTCTGACCCCTGATGAACTCTTCACTGAACCTCAACTTATAGGGCCTCAGGTTTGTCTGACAGCTCCGGCTAGGACTACCTTGGCCACGAGTCACATGTGGAGTTTGAGAGAAGGAATCAGCCGACCTTCATACAACTGTAGGTCTCTGGGCCTCAGGACTGACCCACCAGGACATTCAGTCGCCCCCCAACACCTGCAGCACAGAGCCAGTCTCGTCCACGTTCTCTAGCAGCGTCTTTGGAGTTTGGACAGCAGAGAGTTAGCTATTGACAAAGAATCCAAGTCCCCAGGCAAGGGTCACTTACAATGGATTCTTTTCTGGAATTACCCGCCTGAGTGCTGAAGCCACCGAGAGATCAAGGCATGGGGCCAGGAGGAGCCTGAAGAGGCCCGAGAAACTCCCTGTCCTGGGACACACGGAAGGGAGGAGCGAGATCCCCGGGAGGCAGTCAGACCCCTCCTGGAGGGACAGACACAGCTGCTGGAACAGGACGGTGGCAGGCCAGCCTGCCATGCTGTGGGGCTGCTGAAGGGAGGCCACCAGCTGAAGTGGCTTGAACCCCGGAGTCGCCCTCTTTGACTTCTTATTGACCTGCTCTGTTGGTGAGTGTGTGCACTTAGAATTGGGTTCCCATCGCTAACGATCGTGAGGAGTTCTCATGACACGGAGATGCCTCCATTCAGTCCGTCCAGGGAACTGAAGGACTTAGGGACTCCCGGGCAGCTGAAGTATGACACGATCACCTCTAAGTCTCCTCATTTTCCACTCCTTTCTTAGAAATAACTTTTTAATTTTTTTCCAGTACTGAGGATTCAGGGGCGATTCACCACTGAGCCACATCCCCAGCCCTTTTTTATATTTTATTTAGAGACAGGGTCTTGCTGAGGTGCTAAATGCCTTGCTAAGTTGCTGAGGCTGGCTTTGGACTCACGGTCCTCCTGCTTCAGCCTCCCAAGCTGCTGGATCACAGGCGTGTGCTGCTGTACCAGGAGTAGCTTTGTTTTTTGTTTTCAGTTAAAAGTGTCTGTTTAGGGCCAGGAGTGAGGCTCAGGGGTAGAGGGCTTGCCTAGCGTGTGTGAGGTCCTGACAGCACTTCAAAAAAAACCCCAAAACCCAATAATAACTGTTTAGCTGTCGTCAGGGACAAGCTCTTGATTCATCTGCTGTAACAGGCAAGAGAGCATCCACAACATTTTGATTTGTGGCCGCCCGCTTTCTCCCACCCCTCCCCCAGGCTTTGGCAGCTGTACCTAAAGGAAACAATCGGCTCCGGGCTGCAGGACTGACTAGGTCCTCCCAGGACTAGACAACGCTGGAAGGGATCTGCACAGCTGATTCAGCAGCTGCTGCGGACTGTGGCGTGAGCTACAGGAGGTTTGTGTGATTAACTGACTCTGATAATGGAGGCTCCACTGCTCCCCCACGGCGGAGACGAGCTTACCCCGCAGGGACGCTCGGGGACTGTGGCAGCCTCGACTCATCTGCACGGTCGCATTTTTCTGGACATTTCTAAAGACAGTTTCCACGGCAGCCTTTTTGGAACAGTCAACAGAAGGCCGACCCTTGTGGGTTGGAGCATTCCTCTAACCCTCTCCACTCGAGCCTCTGAGGCCCCAGATGCTGGCCTGTGGCTTTAACTTGCACCCCCCTCTGGGGCCTGTGTAGTTGGCTGCTCATCCTCCTCACTGCTGGAAGGGCTCTGGAGCATCCACACGGTGGGTGTGACAGTCCTGCAATGTCCCAGGTGCCACCTGACCTGCACGCTCACCTGCGACTCCTTGCCCCGTTTAGTGATATAACGATCTTAGCTCTGGCCTAGGGGGGTGCTGCTCCTTAGCTCTGGCCTAGGGGGGTGCTGCTCCTCTAGATGGAGATCAGTTGCTTCCTGACGTCAGAATCGGCTGATGACTGCGCTTTTCCTTCTTGTTCTCAACATTATGAAAACACTAGTTTAATTTGTTTTTTTCTAAATTTGCAGTTTTATTTTAACCAGCTCCCTTTCTCCGCCTGGAGAGTCTAGAACGTTCCTCCCTCCCTTCTCCCTCAGAGCAATCTGCTCCCACCGGCCAGGATGAGCTGGCCACCGTGGTGCTGGGAGGAGGCCCGGTCGGGAGCTGGGCTGTTGCAGGAGGTGGGTGGTGGCTGCTTTCGGCTTCCCAGGACTAATGAGACACCGCTAAGGCAGGTCCCAGGCACAGGAGGCAGAGGGAAGGACCAGCCAGGTTTGGATGACCGCATCCACCAAATGAGTTGACTGGCCTTCCAGATGCACTGCCCAGGAGGACAAGAGCCTATCACAGGAAAACTGGAAGAGTCGGGGGCCTGGGACCCCTGGGACCCACCCCTTGGCAGGGCCTCAGGTGCTGTAACTCGGGTGGGATTGGCGCTGCGCCCTCTGGAGTATCTCAGGATGTGCAGCCTGCAGGGAGGGGTGGGGCTGCCCACTGAGAGCCGAGGGCTTCACGTCTATTGGCTGGGTGTTCACTGTGCTCAAAGGAGAACTGGTGATGAGAAGATCTAGGATCTATGCAGAGAATGTCTGCCTTGGGGCGATGTGAATTTCAGAGCATTAGGGATCAGCATCCTTAGAAAGGAGCCCAAACTCTGAAGCAGACTGATGCATGCGACCAACTCTGCCTGAGAGGCAGATCTCTCTCTTCCGTGCCTTTGTCTAGCCTCTGGGTGAAGTGTGCAGAGCCCTGTTATTTCAGGAAACAGTGAAGCCCAAGGTCCCACTCTGGCCTTTGGAGCCTCAGCCTCCCACTGCAGGACGGGTGGGATTGGGGCAGCCTCACAGGGTGCTGTGGAGACTGCAGAGCTTGGAGGGGACGTCCCTGGCCCAGGTCTGCAGTGAACACACTATGTGCGGCTGTTGCTGCAAACTCCCTACTGCGGGGTTTTGTTTTATTTTAAGCAAATGATTGCATGGACGCAGTGAACGGGGTTATGCCTGGGCGTTGCTCTCCGTGCTGTGAGTTAGAGTGGGCATAAGATGGTGAATGTGTGGACGTGCCTGAGAGGCAAGCTCTGCCGGTGGAGGTAGCCCTTGACCAGAAAGGAAGGACCTTTTTATTTTTTGGCAACTCAGAGCCGACTCAGCCTATTCTGAGCTCCCCTAATAAAAAGAGGCAGGAAAGTATTAATAAGAACGAGAATTTCCTCCTCATACAGATCAGGTTACACTGACTTTAAAACACAAATTTTGGGGGAAGGGGAGCCAGTACTCAAGGAGGGCTCCCCGTAGCCTTTGGGGACACAGCAGTTAGGGTACCTGGGAGTCCCCATGGGGATCCAGAAGTCCCTGCTCACATAGCACCAGGGGCCTCTCCCCCTACAAGGGGTGGCCAGATTCCCCCTGACCTGCAGCAACACCAACACAGCCTGCTCCTAGCTCCCTGCCCTCTCCTACCCCTCAGGAGGCTTGGAACGGGGGCCAGGGACTTAGCTCATTTTTGTGATGATGATCCTATCAACTTGGCTTCCTTCAGGGGTTCTCGGGTAGAGGAAATGCTCTTCCAAAACCAAGCAGGATTTACAAGCAAACGCAACAGTGTGCATTTGCTCAAGATAATCCCAGAATCATTTGGATATGAAAAGCCTTTGGTAATTGGCTGGGAGAATTAAAGTTGGCATAATACCTAGCTATATGCATGCACGTTGTTATTTTTAAGCAATCTGTGTGTTTAGATGCCATCAAGCTAATTAGGAAGTATGTATTTGCACAGAATCCAAGTTTGGAGTGCTATTGAATGGAGAAAATAAATCTTTCTCGCTAAGCTAATGTGTACCTTCCGAATCTCTAAAGTTCTTAAAATCGCCAAATGCTAAGAATACACAAATTTATTTTAAAGTGATTATTTAGTTTTCCCAATGAACATTAGCATATAAAATCAGATGTTTTTAAACAATATTTTTTTTAAAACCATATTTCAAATTCTAACTCAATTAAGCTCTTTCAGGGTGAAAAAACCTATCAGGTGGTAAATGGAAGAAATAGGTATAGATGAAAGAATGGATGGATGGATGGATGGACAGATGTGTGGATAGACTGACTGGAAGATGCATGGACAATATGCAGGTATGTGCATTTCTTACATTACAGGTAGGGGTGTGTCTAGATTGTGGCACACGTGTGAGCATGTTATGTGAGTTGCATGCACATGTGTGTTCACAGTATGAACTATATAAATGTCCTGTGTTGCTCACATTTGATGGTTTGTTGTTTGTGGAAGAGTGAGGGCTTTTGCTGCCCCTGACCGTCTGGATTCAAGCCCTGTCTCCACATTACTGGCTGTGTGATCCGGGAGAACTCTCTCAACCTCCACTTTCGAGTTTTGCCATTTGCACATCTGGGACTAGTAGCACTACCTTCCTCACCTTTATATTGCAGATTAAGTGAGAGGAAGGACACAAAGTCCTTGTATGCACCTGGCCTGTGGAAATGCTCCATCGATACAAGCATCCCATTACGGAGGAACTCCGTCACGTGCACACTGAGGGGAAAGCATACCTTCCAGACTGAGCTGTGGGAAAGGAGGTTCCCAGGAGTCGCACGCGAGCTGACTGCAGCAGGTGTACCCTGTGCTGTTGTGTGTGCTGAGCTGTGTGTGCTGAGCTGTGTGTGTTGAGCTGTGTGTTGAGTTGTGTGTGTTGAGCTGTGTGTGTTGAGCTGTGTGTGTTGTGTGTGTTGAGCTGTGTGTGTTGAGCTGTGTGTGTTGTGTGTGTTGAGCTGTGTGTGTTGAGCTGCGTGTGTGTGTGTTGAGCTGTGTGTTGAGCTGTGTGTGTTGAGTTGTGTGTGTTGTGTGTGTGTTGAGCTGTGTGTGTTGAGCTGTGTGTGTTGAGCTGTGTGTGTGTTAAGCTGTGTGTGTTGAGCTGTGTGTGTTGAGTTGTGTGTGTTGAGCTGTGTTGAGCTGTGTGCTGAGCTGTGTGTGTTGAGCTGTGTGTGTGTTGAGCTGTGTGTGCTGAGCTGTGTGTTGAGCTGTGTGTGTTGAGCTGTGTGTGTTGAGCTGTGTGTGTTGTGTGTGTTGAGCTGTGTGTGTTGTGTGTGTTGTGTGTGTTGAGCTGTGTGTGTTGAGCTGCGTGTGTGTGTGTTGAGCTGTGTGTGTTGAGCTGTGTGTGTTGAGTTGTGTGTGTTGTGTGTGTGTTGAGCTGTGTGTTGAGCTGTGTGTGTTGAGCTGTGTGTGTGTTAAGCTGTGTGTGTTGAGCTGTGTGTGTTGAGTTGTGTGTGTTGAGCTGTGTTGAGCTGTGTGCTGAGCTGTGTGTGTTGAGCTGTGTGTGTGTTGAGCTGTGTGTGCTGAGCTGTGTGTTGAGCTGTGTGTGTTGAGCTGTGTGTGTGTTGAGCTGTGTGTGCTGAGCTGTGTGTGTTGTGTGTGTTGAGGTGTGCTGAGCTGTGCGTGATGAGTTGTGTGTGCTGAGCTGTGTGTGTTGTGTGTGTTGAGGTGTGCTGAGCTGTGTGTGATGAGTTGTGTGTGTTGAGCTGTGTGTGTTGAGCTGTGTGTGTTGTGTGTGTTGTGTGTGATGAGCTGTGTGCGCTGAGCTGTGTGTGTTGAGCCGTGTGCTGTTTCCTGGTGGATGTGCATGGAGTTCCTCTGTGCTGTAGGTCTCTGTTTCATCCAGGCTCTGCTGGGTTGCACGTAGTTTTGTTTGAAGTCTGTGCACGCTGCATGGTGTGTGACGTGGATCTGTTTTGTTGTGCGAATCATGTTACAGTGAGGTAGAAGTCTACGTACTGGATGGCGTATGTGGGTCCTTAGGATGGAGGCTACAGGTGGAGAGGCTTTGTTGACCCCTGGTTTTTAAATGAATTAGTTACTAATATTTAAAATCGGTTTCACATAAAACCAGAGGACACTTTCTCTTTTGAAAGTGGAATACCTGACAGTGTTGGCCATACTTCCCGTAAGACAGCGCCGAGGGCAGCTGAGAATGGCCGCCTCCTTCAGGTTGATAACATGCGATTTGCCCCAGTCTCCGGATTCCCTGCTGCTCTCCGTGGAGACGCCACAATCTGGCCAGGGTGCTTCGTCTCACCCGGGCTGTTCCCCTCAGGCCCAGCCTGCCTCCCCATTCCCATTCACTCCCTTTCTGAGTTCGCACCTCTGGCTTGGACATGCACGAACCCCGGGTCCTTTCTGACAAACCCAAGAGGGGAGGGTGAGGAGGCGAGGATGTGCAGACCCCAAAAGAAGTGAAATCCGCCCGCTCCTCTGGAATTCCTGGGCTTCCTGCACCTGCCCGCTACCCCAGGACGTCGCCAGCCGTGGTACTGACCCTGCTGATGGAGAAGAGCAGCCCGGGCCGGTCCGAGCACACGCCCGTGAAGCAGAAGCGCAGCTTCCAGTAGAAGAGGTGCTCCCAGATGAAGGTGATGAGGCTGAGGGCCATGGCGGCGGCCAGCATGTAGAACACGCCCGCCATGTTGTCGATGTCCAGCTGGCTGCTCATCACCTCGTTCTTCTCGTTGTGGCAGATCCCCGTGAGCCACAGAGTCTCCAGCTCCTCCATCTCCCCTGAAAGGAACACAACACCCAGGCAGTGAGGACCAGAGGGGCTGGGGACAGAAGTGCGTGACCTACAGCTGTGTGACCTTGAGGCAAGACGGCCCTCTGGTCACTCACTTGCTAAGTCAGGATAACCAGGATGAGGCCCGTTATCATCACCGTGAAATTGGAACCGCGCCCAGAATAGAGACCGGGGCTCGGTGCCTGCTTTGGTTTGGTTTGGGTCATTACTAGGCTCTTCCACTTGCTTACCCACCCCTGCCCCCAGAACCCCCCCCCCAAGCTCTGAGCAGGATGTGGGGACCGACCAGCAGCAAGCTGCACGGACAGACCTCACTGCCACCTGACTTCGTCGCTGGCCTGCTGTGTGGACTTGGAGCCACAGTTACGCCGTCTGTGGAATGTATGGCCCCTGCTCGGAGTCGTGGTGAGCACCCTGAAGTGCCCGTTCCCAGTCAGTCCTCATAAACAATAGCTCGTGCTGCTCCTTACTGTCACCGGGAGAATGCCCGCCCGGGGCCTGGTGGAGGGCAGCCCCCGAATGGATCCGTTCCTTCTTTCCCATCTCTTTAGAACATCCAGAGTTACTCCAAAAAGCCACCCACCCGCAGTATACATGGGACACAAGACTTCAATTGAAGAAGACATCTCTGGCTCTGAATGGCCCCTTGCAAACTAAACACCTCCTCCCTTCAGTCGCAGTTAGAGAAGCAGGTGGGGTTTTCAATGAGAGGAAACTGGTGGGCATGCTTAGCATCATCCTCTGTCTTTGTCATGTGGGAGGAATTCTCTGATCTAAGCGTCTGGTAATTACACTGACTGTCGGGCAATTCACTAAACCATGGCACTTAAGACGATGATTCAGCCCTTAAAAATCATCTTTCAAGGATACCAATAATCAAAGACGATGCATGTGACGTTAAATTCAGATTACGGCTATATGCATACATGTGCATATGTAATTTCTAAGATGTGATAAGAGACATTTGGAGGAAAATAAATACTTCAAGTGTTTTCATTGATTCTCCTTTAAAGAGGTGAATCATGATTTATTGATCTCAAATGGGTCCTTTTGGTTTTGTGAAGTTAGCACGTGTTGCTCTTGTTTTGTTCTCGCTCTTGAATTACTTGAACATACGAATCTAAGTTGAGAGAGTTTTTTTGGTCCAGTCTTTGAAGATGTCATCCAGTTTCCTCCTGATTTGGACTGCAGTTGTGAGACGGCGGCTGATCTTATTGGTGCTACTTTCTTTGCGATCCATATTTTCTCTTGAATTGCTTCTGAGGATTTCACTTTGTAACCCCCGATCCTCAGTGTCTCTATAGCTTTGTGATTCCAGGCCTGAGAACTGCGATGAGTTGATTGTACAGCATGTGGCCTTTTCAGACTGGCCTCTTTGACCTATTAACATGCATTTCTAATTCCTGTGTACCTTTTCCTGGCTTGACAGCTCATTCCTGTTTATTAGTGAATAATATTCCATGCTCTGGATGGGCACTGTATTCATCCGTCCACTTACTTTAAGGACATCTTGGTGATTTCGAAGTTTGAGCCATTACGGATAAAATTGCCCTAAACATTTATGTGCAGTTTTTCGGGACCTATTTTCAACTCATATGGGCAAATACTTGGGAGCATTCCTGCTGGGTTGTAAGGTGAGACTCTGTCTAGCTTTGGGAAAGTGTGACCTCTATTCCAAAGTGGCTGTCCCCTTTCCCACTCCTGCCATCAAGGAACAAGAGTTCCTGCTGATCCACGTCCTCACCAGCATTGACTGGTGCCATGGGCGTTCAGGATTTTTGCCATTTTCATGGGGGTGTAATGCTATCTTGTTTAATTGGGGTGTTTTGCTTTAATGGACAATTCCCTAATGACCTATGATAATTCTCTTTTTTTTTCTGAAAATTTTAAAAATATTCTGGGATTTCTTGTTCTACCTTCTAGGTTACTAACCTTGTTTTAATATCTCTGTTCCTTTCTCTCTGGGCTGCTCTTGGATGATGCCCATGGATCCATCTTCCAGTTCACTTGTTCTTTCATTGTGATATTCGGCTTTATGTTTCAATTCTGATCTACTTATTTTAACTGGGGCATTCATTGTTTTTGTTTTGTTGTTTTTGGCTTTCTTATAGTTCTGCCTGATCTTTTTGTCATGATGTCGCACTCCGTCGTCGTGACTTTTAAAACTTTTATGTATTTAACAGTTTCAAACCTATAATCTTACCGACTGGTTCTCGAGTTTCTCATCCTCTGTCTGCTGTGTGTGCCGACTCATGGTGGATTACTTCCCTGTGACATTTGTAGCTTCTGATCAGGAGCTGATCCTCTGCAGAGCTGTTGCCCCTCTCACCACCACGAGTCCCCCAAGAACACCGCGTTATAGAAATGTCTCTACAGAGGGTTCTGGGTTTGCTTCTGCCACATCTCCAGGGGTTTTCAATGTACTAGTTTCAGTATGGAAAAAAAAAATTTTTAAATGCAATTACTGCACCATGTGTACAGCAGACCTTTGGAGGCCAATACTTATTTGTGTTTCAATTCCTCATTCAGAAGCTTCAAACAGATGGCAAACCTCCTTGCATTTCCTTCACTTTGATGGACAGAGATTTTTCCTAGTTTCCTTTTCATAGAATAAGTGACTCACTAAGGTCTCAGATTTGTTCATCAGAGGGAAAGTATACATATTTATGAAAGAGAAAAAATGTGGAACCTGTCCCCTTACAAGTTCTTCACCCACAAAGAAGGTGGCTTGTTCTTCAGTGGCACAAGGCAAGGGATGGGAAGGGGTATCTTGATTCAATTCCTTTCTTTCCAACAGCCCCCGGCACTTGTACACAGTCACACGTGTCGTCAGAGACTCGAATATGACTTCATTGTCCCCCAGCACCACCAGGAGCTGAATCCAATCCCTGCGTCCGCCATGTTGCTTGAGGCTTACATAACAGCTTCCCTCTTCCCCAGACCAGCGCCGCCATCTCTTCCCCAACGCTGACTTTCCTCTCCCTTTGGAGTTTATGAGGGCATAAAAATAGGTCTTCTGCTCATGACTCATAAGATTCCCAGCACATCTGTCCTTTACTCTTATCCCCCAAAGAGCCAGTTTGTCAGCCTGCAGCAGCAGCCGCCAGGTACAAGAAACATCACCTCGATTTTTTTTTCAGGATGTAAATACAAAGGATTTTCTTCTGCCCTTTTTCCCACACAACAGCTTTCTTTAGAATAAGTCAACTTGCCCAGCCGGGCCCGGATTCCAAAAAGAGAGCAAATTCCCATTTCTCAATTCCAATTACAGCCTGTTCCAATCATTTTCCAGTTAATCATTCCTTGCCTCGTGGCCCTCTCTGACTAGTGTACCGAACTGTAGTTCAAATACTTTCTTATTTCGTTTTTAATTTACTCAAGTATATTGTAATCTCCTTGAGGGAGAGCAGGGACCATGTTTTATGATTTTGATATTTCTCATGGCTTGCAGCACACAGTAAGCACTGAGTCCATATTTCCTGTTTCTGCTTCTTTCCTTCTATCCCCAGGCTTATATTGGGCAGGACTGCAAAAAACAAGGTCAGGTCTCTTTGGTGAGCGGTCTTGCCAAGGGGAACCGGGCAGAGGGCCCGAGGGTCGGTGTGTGAAGCGTGTAGCCCCCAGCTGGGTGAGCATCCACAGAGGAGTCTGTCCGATCACTGTCCTGTCCGTTTTCCTATTGCAAAGAGGTCACAGTCTTTGTCAGTGTTACCCCGTGAAGCAGAGCTGACAAATGGGACAATTAAATCTCTTTCCGGAAGCCGACTCCTTCTTGCTGGGAAGCCACAAGCTAAGTGCCCTGCTGGGAGCCGGCGGAGCCTTGGGTTGGCGGCTCTGGGTCGCACCCATAGTGTCCCTCTCCCTTCTTGAGAAGACAGATCCCCCATGTAAGGCTCAGAACTGGATCCTCTTCCGTTTACTCCTCTAATGACAGACAGCGTGTGAATACTTGCAGAACTCCTCTGCAACCCTGGGAAATCACACCTGAGTTAACAGTGCTTCGTGTGTCTGTGGTCAAGGGAGAAGATGGTGCCGAACGCAGGTATCCCTGCTGCTCTGAATTCCGCAGCATCCTGAGACTGCAAGTCCAGTGCAGGGAGCAGGGGCCACAGCCCTCTCCCCTCCTGATGTTGGCACCTTCAAAAGCCAGAGAGGTGCAAAACCTAGGAAGGAAGGAGCTTGTGCAGATAGCTGAGGCGGCGCTGGGTGTCTCAGACTCTTTCCGTCGTCTGCTTGGGTGATAACTGCTAGAGGCAGCAAGAGAGGAACAGGTCAATCCGAAGAACAGGTACAGATGGTGCAGGTTGGTGCAGGGGCACGGGATTCCCCAGTAGCCACCCAGTCACAGTAAGGCACAAGGCATGGGCTTCACATTTGCAAAAAGGAGCGATTGAGCATTCAGCTAGATCCAGCCCGGCAAATCGCAAGATGCTTTAGGTAGAAAATATAGGATGGACCACAAAAGTCAGCACAGAGGAGGCCTGTCCAGGGGAGAGGCTCCGAGAAGACTCTGCTCTCCACCAAGTACCAGCAGTCAGCTCCTGCTCGGCCCTCAGACTCCTTCCCAGCACCTGCAGATTAGATGTCATCTACTCCACAGGACTGTCCAAGAGCTAAGGGACTGCTTCCTGAAGGGACTCTATGGGAACAACGTGACAAGCCTCCAGGTCTCCTGAACACTGTTCCCCGAGGTCAGCCGGGAAAAATCCAGTTTGAACCTTTAGGCTTTATCCAGAACCCAGGAAATTTGCTGGAACATTTTTTAAAAATCAACCTCGATGTATATCCTTGCAGGAAGCCATCTAGATAGTTTTTCTTGGTTTCTGGCCAAGGCACTTGATCCTAGGCAGTAATGCTATAAAAAGTGATTGTGTGCGACTGAGAAACTGGGTTTGAGGTTCTGTCTCAAATTTGATCAAGAAAGCTAATGCCTTTGTTCATCAGAGGATTCCGTGTGTGTGTGTGTGTGTGTGTGTGTGTGTGTTTA